AAGACGACGACACAAGGAAGCCTACTTGCGCTGCGCACGCATACCTCCACACGCACACCCCATCATACACACACCACGCACACAACCACACAAAAGCACAAACACAAACATACAAGCACATGTACATAAACATTCATACAAACAAACACACCCACACACTTGCGTAGAGACACACGCGCAAGCCACACCTTAGCCGCCCGCCATCTCCCAGCCTGGCCTGGCCTGGCCTATCTATCTGCCTGCCTGTCTGCCTGCCTGCCTGCCTACCTGTCCGTCTGCCTATCTGCCCCCCTCCCCCGCTATCTTTGTGTCGCCTGTTGCGGCTTCCCCCCCCTCCAAAAGCTTCTTTGGTACCCGAGTGCACACCAGGCTCTCGCTTCCCGCTAGCTTGCCTCGCCCTCTATCTCGACGCCACCGCGCCGCACCAAATACAATCAGGCTTCCGAGCTCTCTCTCTCTCTCTCTCTCTCTACACCTGGTATCCACCCCCCCGCAACGACGCTAGCACCTCGTGGTCCATTTCCACTACCTTCACCCTCCACCGATCCGACATGGCTTCCGCCTCCTTCCGGGATTCCATGGGCTCGCTGGGGTGGAGTCGACGAGAAGCAGACGTCCCCGTGAACACCTCGTCGCCCTCGGTGCTGTCCAGATTACAAAACTTGAACCCCTTTGGCACAGGTGGCTATGTAAGCCTGCCGATTACAGAGACGAATCCGGGTGCGCCGCTACCTGCTCCCACGCGGAGGGAGGAAGAGGAGGCATGGTTTGCGCGTAAGTCTACCATTTCTACTACAGTGGCGAATTCACCTTTGCCACCTTCTTCTACACCCTCGTCCTCGCTGCCGCTTTCCATTCTCGTCTGTTCAAGAGGGGGCTGCCAAAAGGGCCGCTTTGCTTTGCGCACACCCTCAGCGCCCAGTGGCTGTCTCGTGATGTCATCAAGAGACAAGGCAGCGAGCCTAGTTTCACCTGCACAACCAAAATCTCGTTGCTTCTCTACGCTGCAAACTTCTTCCATGGCAAACAGGCAACTCGCATCCAGCAGAGTCTCCACTCGTGGGCCACCGCCCCCCGAGACCGGCCACTGTCATCTGGCCCTACACGGCTTCCATGGGCTGCGCCACGGCAGTCGACGTGACTGAAGGGAGTTCCCATGGGCTGCGCCACGGCAGTCGACGTGACTGAAGGGAGTTCCTGCGTTACTGCGCGGATGCAGGACACTTGCATGCTCTTCAGTTTGACTTTGAGACAAAAGGACCGTGCTAACGACAAGGCCAGTGAGTCGGTGGGACCGATTGCTCGTATTCGGCGGCCTTTTGCTGGCAGCCTTGGCCATGTTTGCTACCAGTATTGGAATCATGTTTACCCCCATCTTCCTCGTGCGGCCACGCAAGTTTGCCATCTTGTGAGTCTGTTTTGCTCGTTTGCCTTCCCCCTCTCGTCACAGCCCTGCTGCAGGGCCATCCTCGTACCATCTGCCAGTCCTCCCAGGCAGATCGCAGGCCCTAATTCGTCCTCTGGCACGGCTATGCGAACTCTTGTAGTCCCCTTTGAGGTTTTTGCATCGTCGATCGACTGCGGTCCCCGCTGGTGACGAATTGGAGTCGGTGACCTCTCTAGCCACTGCGAGATCGCCGCCGGACCCTCTTCTGGAGCGATCATGCGGCTTCAAGGCTCGGCGCGCTGCAGGGTGCACAAGCGGCCTCTCCCTAGATTTGACTACGCTTTGCCAAGACTCATGCACATGTTCTCATCGATGTGGGCGCTAACCACCATGTCCCGATTGCAGATGGTCCATGGGTAGTCTTCTCTTTCTAGGAGCTTGGGGTGTCTTGATGGGCCCCATGCAATACCGTAAGCGTGCCTCCTTCTCCTACGCGACACGGATACGGAGCCCTCTGACTGACAGGTCGTGTACACAGTCCAACATTTGATATCTGGTCCACGACTTCCCTTTACCGCTGCTTATTTTGGTAGCATTGCCATGACACTCTACTTTTCGCTCGGAGTAAGTCTCTTGTTCTGCACCCTTGCCAAACACAGCTCTTGCAGAGCATCCCTGCTTTGCCCCCCTCCCCCACCCCACCTGCACGCACCTACTGTACACCCAGCCCCCTTATCGATTATCGTCCCACTAGTTCCATGATTTTTCCTTCACTGACCATGTCCGCGTGATTGTCCCTGCCAGCTTCACAGCACGATCCTTACCTTTCTCGCGGCCGTTGTCCAGCTAGTCTGTCTGCTTTGGTATGTGGTTTCATACTTTCCCATGGGCTCCACCGGGTTGCGTTTTGCAGCGCGCTTTGGAGGCAATCGCGCGGCGGCCTGGATGAATAATTAGACTGTGTTGATTGGTGAGTTTGTGTTCTTGTCCGTCTTGCCTGTGGTGAAGATGATGATGATGCCGATGAAGAGGGGGGATTTGGATGGACGTGGTGAGTGCTGTGGTTCTTGTCCATGTTGCAGGAGAGTGGGGCGCGGAGACGGAAGACGGGTATCGGGGGAAGTGGGGAAAGGGGCAACTTGAATATAACGGGCGTTGATATAGATGGATACGAGTATAATCGGGTAAGAGTCGTAGGAGTGTATACCAGAGTCGTAGGAGTGTATACCAGAGTCGTAGGAGTGTATACCAGAGTCGTAGGAGTGTATACCAGAGTCGCAAGAGTGTATAACCAGAGTCGCAAGACGTGTATAATCAAAACCATGCAAGTGCATACATGTACGACGTGTGCAATTTGCAAAGCATTGCTGCAAAAAAAACAGGTAACCACATGATCTAGCATTGACGTTCTTACGACACGCCATCGGACGCAGAGATTGAAATGAAACATGTATCATTCAATTGGGAAAATAGGACACCGGACTTGGCATGGCATGATATGATGCTTTTCTTGTTCCTTCTCCTTTGCTTTCTCCTCCTTTTCAATGTCTTTGTTGGTGCACGTCGGGGGAGGCGGGAAGACGGGACGGCATAATGTTTGGGTGCTTTGTGGCCGAGCGAGGGGGGACTACAGACCCTCGACTGTACATCCGATAGGTACTGGACTCGACTACTCGACCCATTCGGCCCAACTCTTCTCGCCGTTGATGTAAACATGTACATGTCAATGTCGACGTCGATTTCAATACAATGTAAATGAAATGCATGGTCATCTGATTGCGAGTGCTTACCCAGGTACCTGTCTGTCCGTCTTAACCGAACCATACTCCTCGTATCTCAACATCTAGAGTCGAATGTTGACTACCAAATGTCTAATGTCTAATTTCCTGTCTTGTGAGTGATGCCCAAGTTTGTCTCACACGCATGGTCTCGTGTCTTGAGGGGTTTGCCGTGTGTGGGAGCTGTGTGTGGGTGTTGTTGACATTGTTTGTCAGGCCGGGGATTTTTAGTGGGGATTTTCCTCCTCTCTCTTTTTCATTTTATTCGGGAGATGGGGGTTGAATGGTGAATGGTGAGGATGAAATCGATCATGGCACACTTGGACAAGAGGGAAGTCGAAAAGATACCGTACACACTACCTACCCACCATCTCCGTCATCTCCCCAAGTTCTCCCAAATCAACACCACCCTCTCCCATTCCATGTCCCGCCCATCCCCTCAACACCCTACAACTACCAAACTATTGGTGTATAACACGTCCTTCTTAACCCAGCTTATCCATCCTTCCTCCTTTTCCTCCTTCAGGATTCTACCCTAATTCTCCGAAGATCGTACAGTATGACCCGCATCTACCCGATAAAAGGCAAAATCTCATGAATCTTGGAAGCCATGGGATTCGGCGATTTTCTTCTTCTTGTCTCGGGTGTTGGGTTCGGTATTGGGGGGTCGAGATTTGGGTTTGGCGGTACTCATGTCCGTGGTCGTCCCATGGTCTTGCGGCTTTGCTCGTTTGTCTTGTGACATGGTTGGGTCTATAGGTACCGTATGTTTGGGAATAGGGGCCTGTGTTGTGGCAAGGGCGGAATGGGCAAGTCGATGAATGGGAGTTGGGGAGATGGGAGATGCTGGATGGCTACGGTGGGTGTTCATCATCATCCTATTGTATACCATACCATCACCTCTCATCACCTCTCATCCCATTTACACCGGATACCATAACATGTGGTAGGATACGGAGTTGTGGTCTAGAACCATTGGATCAACACACATGCCACCCCGTCCCATGGCATCCCACATCCATCTCCAACCCCCATCCATGAACAATAAAAAGCCGGGAGTATAGGCCAGGTGGTATTCCCATCATCCCATGGTACCGTACCCCTACCCCATCCTTCCCCCAGCACACCTATAACACAACGATTCAGGATCAAGTTGGCCATGGGGCCATGGGGCCATGGGGCAACAAGGGGCGGCTATAAGATTTCTGCTTTGGGAAATCTTTGTTTCAGTGGGTTGGCCGGTCTGATTGGCGCACTGTTTCGTTGAGCTGGTTTGTTTCGATTTCGTGCAGGGCGGAGGGATCTACAGAGTCGGTGGGATGCGGGATGCGGGATGGGGATGTGGTATGTGGATGTGGTATCTGGTATGTGGTGTGTGGTGTGCATGGTGGTTGGCCGCCTTGGCTGTACCGTACCTAGCTTGTGGGTATGGTATTCCCATGTTTTTTGTGTTTGTCTTTGGTTGAGTGGGTGTTCCGTAGGCCAGGTGATGTTGGGTTGAGATGGGTCATGTCAAGGCAAGGCAAGGCAAGTCAGTCAATTCATGTGAACCCAGCAAACAGACACGGATATAAGAGCACATCGTTCCGTGTATCAGTACCACCGGTAGGTATGCGCTCAGCCCTCATGCTCACGATAACACCGGAGCAAACAAAGCAACCACACATACATACACACACATGCCCACCCTCCATAGCCAGCCACTTGCCCTCCCCCTCATTCGTCTCTTCCCCACGCCCAGGGCACTCCCATCCACACCAGCCCATCTACTACTGTACCCGCCCTCCAGCCCTCCAGCCTAGCGGCGGCACGACCGCACTCGTGCAGCCACAACGTGCTGGGTGTGCACTGTGTAGCAGGGGTCTCCGTCTTAGCCATGCATACTCTAGGCAGGATGCTGGGTAGGCAGGGTAGTTGGGCCAAGTAAACAGGCTCTTTGCCTACAGCCTACCTTACCCTAGAGTACACCTCCCTACCTACCAGGCCACCTAGCACCTGCTCTCCATACTACCGTACAAGCCATACATCCCCAGCAAAAGGCTAAGCCACACAAGGTAAACCATCATCCTAGTGGTTGCACTCGCCAGTCTCTTAGTCTCGAATCTCGGGCTGGATGATGCGCGCAGGTGCTGGGTGCGCGAGGCGGTCGCAGGTCACGTTCATGTCCTTGGTCCCCCCCCCCCTCTCTCCCCCAGGTGCCATCTCCATCTCCGTTTCTGTTTGTGTGTGGGTGTGGGTGTATGTGTCTAACTATCTAACTATCGTTTTCTTAGTCTTGGGCCGGACCAAGGACAAAGCGCTCTAGATCTACATGGCGTTGCGGCGGCGTGCTGGTGGGGTCTTGTTGCGGTGAGGAGGGGAAGCTTGTGTGGTGGATTGATGGGCAACTTGGGAATGAGGAGATGATGGATGGTATTTGATTTTTTTTTAGGCGCGAATCGCGGTTAGGACAAGGCCATTGGCGCCGTGGGCATGGGAGGTTTGGGGGGTTTCTCTGGAGCGGTGTGGGAAATATACTTGACCTGGTATGGGAGGGTGACGCGATGAAGAGATGGGAGTGGGGTACATAGGTTTTTAGCTGCAGAGTGTCTATGGGAGGGAGCAAAGATTCGCATTTCTAGCTTTGAATGATGACATCATGATGGCCTTTTGCATACTTTGCTGTGTATGTGTGAGTGTGGGTGTCTGTGAGTGTGGGTGTGTATGTGTGTGTGCTATTTCTCGTGTTGTTCTGGATTGGGAAATGCAAGACAAGGCAAAGGAGAGGATGGGCGTTACGGTCCTTGCAGCCGAGGGAGGGGGCAGTTCGAGTCTCTCTCCTCTTGGAGTGATTCGATGGCATGATATCTACCTTAGTTACTTGCCTACGTTCCCGTACAGCTTCCACCCACAACTTGATTGCTCCAAGCTGCTGCAGTCATGACTGCATCTGGTGAAGTGAGGTCTCGGGTCCCAGCTCCGAATTCGGTCCTATTCTCATCACGCATGGCAATCTTAGTCCAATATCTATCCTGTGGCGACCCGTTCGTTCGTGAGTCGTGAAAAACGATCAGATGAACTGCTGGGGGCGGGGAGGGATAATTGCGCCCACCACACGCGTCATCTATGAGGAAAGCGTTCGCATGTCCATGTTCATGCTATCCACGCCCGATCAACTTCGGACAAGACATGGGTTCGTCCGCCGTCTTGGGACTGTATTGCGTTTACATCTAGCCCGTGGGCTTACGAGTACGATGCGTAGCATACCGGTACGCGCTGCCAGAAGGAGGGATATCGCATCTACTGCGGTCAGAAGCCAAGTTCAAGTTGCGCCTCCCAATATTCGTGGCAATCATCTTTTGTCGGACTTGTGGCGTTTGGCTGGCCGATTGGGACGAGCTATGTTTAGGTATAGGTAGTATTGCAACACGCGTGTGGTGTACGTATGTACATCTACTACCATGTCTATCATGGACTTACGGTACGGACCCGACCTCATTCCTGAGCTCGGGAGTTCGGCTCGATCATCTCTCTGCCTTGCCAAATCCGCTCGCATGTAGTTTTATCGAATGCAATATACGCGTCAGAGCCATGCCCTCAGCCCTTGCAACCCACCCTACCACGCTGCCACTGTACACAGATCTCATTCGTATCTTATGTCGCGTCGCACACCCCGCACATGCTTCCATGCGCAACCAAACAATTCGGTATGCGAGATGAGATGTGTGCAACGCGCATGTCGCGGCCCTCACCTCGTCAATGCTTGACTGCACTTTAGCCAGATCGGTGTCATACATACGGTAGGCGAGAGTCGAGGAACGAGGTGGCACAATGCGTGAGATGGTGGATGGCGTAGGGCTGAGAAGAGCATACGGCGTCTCGCCTGGTCGATCGGTGTGATTTGCAGGGATCTTGTGTGGTCATGGACAGCTGGGATGGATGAACGTCTGATGGATAATCGGTGCGAAGGCGCGAACTTCTATAGAGTAGAGGCTGGCGGGGTCTTCGTGGTTGGATGGCTGGACCGAGCCTGAGGAGAATGGGGACAACCCGTACGTTTCCTTGCCGTACCTGCGAAATCACCACAATAGGCATACCGGAGATCCGCCAATACTGTGCCCCTCCTCCACTTGCTTGACCTGCTTGACGATGTCATCTTTGGAATCCGTAGGTTCCCCCCCCCCCACCCCCCATTGGTGGTTTTCGAGGCCCGGGGGATTTGGGGCAAAAATGAAAAAAAATTAAAAATTTCCAAACTCCAATTTATTTAACCTCAAAAAAAGGGAGTTAGAAACCAAACAAAAAAAACTGAACATTAAATTATAAAGCCACTCCATGGTCATTCATAAACATCGTCACTTTTTCCGCCATAAAAACTGGTAGCGAAACGGGAAAGCTGGGGGTTCGCTTTGGAAAACTAACCCTCTTCAAAACCCGTCGGGAATTGGATGGTCACCAACTTATGGGACCGTCAAAACCTGAACGCACGCATAAAGCCCAATTTTCCGAACGGGCTCAAAAACGAATGGAAAATTTTAGCCTTGAGTCCAAATAATGGAACGTTGAAAATGTAAAAAGGGCATGGTGGAAAAAGAAAAGAAGGTACCTGCGTGTGGGGGTGGGCTGGGGGGTCGTGTTGGAAAAGATGCTCTTTAATTTCAA